GAGTGAGAGAACAGAGCAACTCTATACACACTCTTTCTTTTTTTTTTTCACTCTGCTCTCTAAATCAACCATGGGAAAGGCCCATTGATCACTTTCTTTTCCCTCTTAATGCAAGCTAGCAGCTGTAACTCTTGGGAAGATTAAACTTCTTTCTTGATAGAATTTTTCTTCTTTAAAAATCAAGTTGGGGCATTAAAATGGCAGCACATTTACCTTGATCTACATTGCTTTCTTTTCCCCATTGATCGCGTTCTTTTCCTCTTTTATGTTTTAAGCTAGGTGCTTTTAACTCATGGGAATACTAAACTTCTTTCCCAATAGAAGTTAAAAAGAAAAATTCCAGTTGGGATATTGAAATGGCAGCATGTGTACCTTGATCTATATAATGGCATCAGGGTCATCGGCCAAAACATTTTGTCATTTTCCCTAATACCTTTATATTTTACTATGAAATCAAAGGCCATTAACTTGCTTAGGTCAATGATGCTGCAAAAATGATTACCTGTTCCTCCAAGTACTTGAGGTTAAAGTGTGTGTTACATGTCATAGAAAATTGCCTCTATAATAATTGGACATAAAATACCATAGTGCCTTGGCTAATTCAACCATTATTGTACTAGATGATGACGGCAGACTCTAAGTTCTTGGGTGAAATAATTGATAGGTTCGTTAGGTTGTTGCAATATAGCCAACCCACAGTTGAATGCATCAAATTTAAGTATAAAAAGAGTTGGGAAAAATCCAGAAGTGCTAATACCGGAGTTTGTGACATTGGTTTAGGTGGTCAAGGTTGCAATAGCATCCATTGTCCATGTGAAAGAGTTCTTATGAAGCATGCTTGGTAATGGCTGTGCAACTATGCCATAAGGCTTCACAAACTTGTGATACTAGCCTGTAAGTCTAAGGAGTTCCTTTAATGCATGTGCTATTTTTAGGTCATTGTTGTTAATGCATGTGCTATACAGACTCTCTCTACACTGATCTCCACCCAAGTATGTTGAAGCTATCACGCTTTTCACTCGCCAGAGAGTCTTAGAGTATAGCTGGTGTTTCTTTGTGGATTGTCGCTAGGCGGCGATGGTCGCTCAAAATACTATAGTTGTGGGCCTGAGACGTTTTTTAGTGGTTGAGCAAAAGTCTTTTGACATGGTTGGAGAGGATAGTGGAGTTAGGATCTACGAAAATGGGAGGGGTTTTGGAAATCAATTTTCTTCCAGAGGGGTGATATTGAATGGCTCATCCAGTGTTTCAAAGTATTCAAATGGAAGAAGGAGGAGGGAGCTTGGGGGAGGAGTAGAAGAAGTAATTGGAGGAACCTTTGGATGACATTGAGTGGTAACAAAAGAGGAAAGTTTCTGGTATTGTCGGAAGGCATTGATGGACCCAAGGGGAGAGTCAACAAGATCTTCCTTCCGGAGGGGGACAAAGCTGAGGGGTGGTGGTAGATGATGGAAGCAATCCATGAGGTGGTGAGAGTGAAGTTAACCCCCCCTGACTGGGTTACGAAGAAAGGAGCGAAGAGTGCACCGGTTTTGAAGAGTAAGAAGGATCAGACGATTTTTATGTTCAGGTGTCCAGGGTGCTGCCTGGAATTAGGCCTACAAGAGGGGAAATGGTTCGAAAATAGGTTCGCTGAGGCCTTGCTGAAACTGGCGACTGATACAACTCAGGTAGGGCAGGAGAGTCTGTCGGGTCTGAATGGGGTGGGTCGGGTCGATTCAAAATTTGAACTTAGAAAGAAAAAGGGGGGCACGTGAGGAGTTTGAGTGGGAACTATACTGTGGAAGAGTAATAAATGGGCCGAGAAGGAAATTACTATGGGTTGAGAAAGGGAAGTGGGTTGATAAACCTGGGTCTAGTCGGAGTTCGGGTAGGAAGCGGGTCAAAGTTTGAAGACTGAAGCGGGTTAAACCCGGTTCTCCAAAAATTAGGTTACCCAAGAGCCAACTTCAATCGGCTTTCGAGGGCTCAGAAAAGAAAGAGGAGGAAATAGCAAGGTTTTCTCAGGGTGTAGAAGCAAAAATGTTGGAAAGCGAAAGGGTGTATGGGGATGTGGTTGTGAAGGGGAGGGAAGAAACAGTTTTTGACATTTCTTCTATGGGTGCTCGCTCTGACGATGAAGGAGAACCAGATAATGAAGACCTAGCCGAGACAAGAGGAGAGTTGTACTCTAATGAAGTGTGCCTAAAGTTGTACGAGATAATGGTTCAGGATGAGGAAAGTGAAGAAGGCTTGAATATGATAACCATCACATGCGAGAATCAGTTGGTTCATGCACCAATGGCTCCGATGGAAGAGGGAAGCTTGGAGAAGTAATATTTTGATTGGGTTCAGAGGAATTTCTTAAAGGTTAGTAAAATATTTGGTGTGTTTTTTCATGGTCTGGAAAACATAATACTCTCTCTGCTTGAGGAAATCGAAACCAGATTTATGGAGGAGGGAAAGGAGAGGAAAAAGTGAAAGAAAAGCAAAAAAGAAGCAGGGGGAGGGAGGAAGCTGAGAACAAAAAAGATTGTAGTGGTATGTCAATTATGAAAGAAAGAAGAACTGTGGGAAAGAGAAGGGGGTTTCGTTTGTCGAAATTGTCTTCATGATAGGAAAAAACAATCTCTTGGAATGTGAGAGGTTTTAAATGATAGGGAAAAAAGAAGGGGTTATCAAAGGATGTAATAAGAAGTGGAAGCTAGATGTTATATGCCTGCAAGAAACTAAGATGGAAGGAGGTCACCGGGCAAGTGATTAAACAACCTTTTA